TAGATAGATAGATAGATAGATAGATAGAGGAGGTTGAAATTGAGAGTTAGTGGTATCGGTAGAACAGAATACAGCACCAGTGCTGAATCAAGATGCTCCCTGGAAATAATGAACACAGTTAAAACCAGATAGCGAGCGCAGTTACAGGGTTTACTGATCAGGGGAAGCAAAGTCAACATGAAGGTTAGTGCAAGACCGTGGAAGACGGTCTTGGTTAGTGACATCGTTCACAAAGACAAAGTGAGTGAATTCAGTCTCCAGTAGGCGTAGGACTTCCGCTTCCGCCCAGAATAGCCCTGGAGTCGACCAAGTTCATTAACTAGGTACAAGATGGCAACGACACCAAGAAAACATTGAGGTTTTTAATTGGGGGGGGGGGGGGGGGGTTACGAGTTGCCCCTTTCCAAAAAGTTTTGAGCGTGGAGGGGGTGGGGAGTTCAAGGTACTTGGCCACAGGTTTTGGCGTCGGGGCGCTAAATTCTAATTTCTAGAATGTTGCCAGTGTGGCTCGAGAGGAAGCGCAGTGAGGAAGGCAACTGTACATCCCATTTCATGACGTTTCAGTCTGGAATGTGTGAAGTCCTAACCCGTTTTAAGGGATAATTTGACAGAGCAAAAGCAAGCCCATTTGCCGGCCCACTCAGTTGTTATGGGTTCGAATCTGCATGTATGCAGTTCTTAAAAAACAAGCATGGATTTCGAGTTCAATGCCAGTCTTAGATGCATAGCCAGCAAATATCCTAGCAAGTAAAGACGATTGCCGTGATGTTCACCACATCAGCCACAAGTGCTGCTAGAACAATAACCATCTGTGGCTAGCAGCGTTTGCCCGTTGCGCCTCAGGGACAGAAGGGGCTTTTTTTTATGCTTTACACCTCAACTCTGGGATCTGCAAGTCGCCTATGTTTACCTGTTTTCTTTTATCTCTCTTTCTCCCCTCCCCCCTCCCCACTCTCTCTCTCTCTCTCTCTCTCTCTCTCCTCTCTCTCTCTCTCTCTCTCTCTCTCTCTCTCTTTCTGTGTGTGTGTGTGCGTTTTTTTAAAATATTCATTTTGTCAAAATATATTATAATATGTATCGACGTGCTTTTACCTAGCGCAGTCATCAAACATCAAGGTAGAAAAGCTCTTCCAGCTCTGGAAAACTATCAGGATTTCAAGTAGAAAAAAGATCTTAAATTTAGATGTGTCGTGATAGTTGTATGTGGGGGTAAGTGTGTGTGTGTGCGCGCGCGCGCGCGCTCGTCTGTTTTACCGCCTGTCTATGAAAAAGACATTTAATTATCAATAGCTATAATATGTTTATATGATACTAATTTATATAAAGCTTTAGAGAATATTTCATATAAATGTTTTGTTTGAAGGATGAAACAAAAACAAAAACTTGGCTTCGAGTCTGATGGGTAAGGTTCACCATGTTGTCTACTTCATCATCAACGACGCGTATGAACGCAGAAATAAAGATACCAAACGAGTCACTGGAAAATAATTCTCGTAGCAACTGTTGATAAAGAAGCTGGGGGACAAACTGCTTTGCAGTTCCACACAATGAATCTGTGGATTAGGTCGCTGCTGAAAGTGAATATGCCTGCAACATGTAAGAGCTTCACAAGAAGGTCAACAACAGTGAAAATATCGTTAGGTGGCTGCCAACGGGTTTTGAGGTTTCAATACCTTTGGTGCTTCTCCATGACTGCTACTGTAGAGAAGCCAGGAATCGAATCCATCTGGCAGTTGACACGGTGTGCACGCAAGGGAAAATGACCATCAGTTTGCATCATAGTCATCTGATGGAAAACTCGCGGCACCATCTTTACACCGGTACATGCAGGCTGAGACACTTACGTAGGAACATGAGCAAGTTGGGCTGGACATGTTACAGAAAGGCAAATGCAACAGCAAGTGCATCGTCTAGTTCAAGTCAGATCTGAAACAAACATAATTCCCAGCTCAATGGCAGAGAGACGCTGGTGCATGTCACTCGTTATGTTGATTATATTATGGCTGGCACAAATCCCTTCCGGCAATGTCGCTGTATTGTCTACTGGATCTGGCTACAGGTGTTCCACCGACTGAACAGAAGAAGTTTGAAGACATGCTGAACTCCAGCATGAAGTAAATACAGATGGACGGTCAGCCTTACCAAGACCCAGCTTCACTTAAATGATAAACAGAACACGCCATCACCCACCAGCCGTGTGTAGTACAGAATGTGATACATGTTTCACGAAATACAGGGCGGCCGCGGCTCAGTCTAAACATGAAAAGCTTGATGAAATATTGACTGTGCCTTCCACAGATTAATTAGGTGATTTAATTAGATTTTAATTGGTTAACTAATCTTACTTTTGCATTAGTGTTACTGTTTTTCTCTTCGATTATCTTTCTTTTGCTGAAAATAAAATAAAAAATACAACTGTACTCAAATATAACAGAACATAGAGATAATGGTAAAATATGCTCATTTATGTTTATGTTTGTGCGCCTTTGGATCTGTGTGGGTATTTTTCAAAAGAGGGGAATCGTTCAGCAGACTACAAATTCCGTCTAAATGTAGACCTGGTCAAAGATGGCAGCAGAAAGGTACGAAAAAAAAAAAAAAAACTGTGAAAGAAAACATTGTAAAGAGTGGTAAACGTTTTCCTGTGGCTAATAAACTATAGCCAGCTTTGACACAACAGTTCAGTGATGGTGTAGCGGACGGATGTGTGTGTGTGTGTGTGGGGAAGGAGGGGGGAGGGGGGGGGGGAGGAGGAGATGAAGACAGACACACAAAATGTTGCATACATTATTTTCAAAAAAGATTGTTTAAAGTGTCTCAATTATAGGTTGTGTGTGTGTGTGTGTGGAAAACTGGGGGGGGGGGGGAGGGGGGAGTTTGGAGGGGGGGGGGGGCAACCAAAGAGTGATAAAGATGGTTTCTTTAAACTACAGACATGCGGATTTTGGGCTGATGGACAGATAGACAGACAGACAGACAGACAGACAATAATATGGGGAGTGGGGTTCGTCAACAGAGAAGCTGAGAAGAGGAAAGGATGGGGTGGAGAGAGAGAGTGGAGTAGTAAGCGAGGAGGGAGAGACAGGATAAGAGATTGCAGA